ATCCATCATTAGACTTGAAGCTGTGGGCATGCAACTGTGCAATGCATTACAAATTGTTAAGAAAGTTGAAAGTGAACTACATCAAGCACAGGGCGAAGTTGCTGTGAAAATTAGTGCAAAATTACAAAATGTGCTCCAACGAAATCCTGGATATTCAACACTGTGTACAATTTCTGACATTCTTTGTGGCAAAGAAGTTGAATTTGACAACAGTGAATTAGAACTTGATGCAAGTGATGTGACTTGTTTTAAGTATGCCCCTGTGACATCTTGTGACGTAGAAAGGAGTTTCTCCAAACACAAGGCCATTGTTAGTGACAATCAGAGGTCCTTCAAGTTCGAGAATTTGAAAATGCATGTTGTCATTCAGTGCAACTCTACTGAAAAGGAAGATTAAGGTACCGTACAAATTATTTACCTGCAACTATTGGCACACTTTACTTTACTTTGTACACTAAAATAAACAGTACTTTCGTTCATGTTTTCTCTTTACAGGGTCAGCATTGTGTTGTGATGGATGCTTCACGGCTTAATGACATATATTCAGAAAAAATAACTTTGTACACTTTTCAATAAAACGCCATTCAGCTTTTCTCTTTATGGGGTCAGCAATGTTCTGTGATCGATGCTTCAGAGCTTAAAGATATTTATTCAGGACAAAATAACTTTGTAAACTTCTTAACAAATTGCCATTCTTAGGAATTTTTGTTAAATATTTCTTATTTTTTGTGGGCCATTCTGTCATATTTTAGGTCATATTTTGCCATTTTTAGGGCATAAATGCATGCATATTTTCAAAGTTTTTAGGTCATAGAAATCCGAGCCCTAATGATCAGTTTGGACTGTACTGCTCCACTGTCATTTCCCCTACTCTCTCTTATCTCTCGACATTCTGTATGAAAGAACAGAGATGTTTTCTTTGACCCTCTGTTGAAATGAGAGGGCAGTGCTGGAAGATGAAGGAACATCCTGTTTTATCATGCACACTGGACAGCACAGTCCATGCTGTGTGTAAGTGTAATGAATGCTGCACTTTGGATCCATATCTGTTTGTCTGCCTTTTGTTCAGTGTTATTGGCTATATTGAAGTATTATGGATAAGTCAACTGAAGATGATTTTGGCAGGGTATGTGTTCCCAATACTTAAGGGGTTCAATAAGACAGCCTAATCAATGGCACCTTCACCAAGTTAATGAGAAAGCATTTACTGGCCTGTCAGTAAAGGTGTTTCTGACCAAGTTTCATATAACAGATCTGCAACAACTCCCATACCATCCTTCCTTACCTCCTGATGATTTCCTCTTATTGGAACTTAAGAACTATTTAACATGGTGTTGCTTTGGGATAGCACACTATAAACATAACCTGATGAAAATGCTCACGATTTCAGAACAAGACTTCAACAAGCGTTTCTTATCATAGAAGTAGTGTACAGATTCAAATAAGAATTAATTTGCAGGAATGTAACAATCTATTGGCTTTCCTGTACTATGAACGTCTTGATTCATCAGTTCAGGAAGTTCTAGAGCTGAATTTACAGATAATTCAGCTTAGGACACAACAGAACATCACTACCTGAATATGTAAATAACTAACCAATCAATTAACTCTAACAGCAGTTACTTTTTTTAGGAAAGGGAAAGGAATATTTCCCCTAAATGTGAACAGATATGTTTCAGAAGAACTCCTGAAATGTTGGTAACTTATGCTAGACTACATGCAGTCATATCTCAGAATCTCAGGGATTCTGGGAAGAAGCCAAATGATTGCAAAAGCAGTTACTCACAGCATGCACATCCAGCATGTCAACTGTCAGGTCATATGAGGTAAGGTTCATGGATTGGAACACTTCACGCAGCGTCATGCTGTGCCCCTTGGAGTTTGTCACCACCTCATCTGCATGGTTCTTCAGTGTCTTCTTGATGAAGCGGAGGAGGTGCTTCTGGTTCATGCAGGATGCCGCATGAATATGAGTATCCACCTGCCACCACAAAGACAGGTCCAATTACATACCTAAAGCACTGAATGAATTTAAAAAGTGGCTGGTATTCTAATGTCCCCTGCACATACATCACCTCTCCCTATGGCTCTACGGCCCTTTAGAGCATGGCCACTTTTTCAGTTTCTTGATCCTATACACAGTCGGTAGGATTCCTTGGATGGGAGATCAGCCTGTCACAATGCTGCTACCTACACACAGAAAACAGATATCCATGCCTCGAGTGAGATTCGAACCCACGACCCCAGTGTTTGAGTGGGCGAAGATGGTTCATGCCTAAGACCATGAGGCCACTGTGATTGGCATTTATTTACTTAGTTATGGTTTATTTAATTAAGCTGTCAGCTCACACAAACTGTGAAAAATGTTAGGATGATTAGTGAAGAATGAATTGGAAAGGATATGAAGGAAGTGGTCATGATATAATGTGAGGTACTATCTCAGCATTTATGTGGGAGATTGAGGAAAATCATGAGAACATTCTACCTGGATAGCCAGTCTCTGGCTGAGACTTGAACCTAGGACATCTTGCATACAAAGCAAAAATGCTAACCACTTGCCCAGAACATTTGATGGTCCCTGTATAAATGAGGAAATTTCTCCCTTAACAAATTCAAAGCAGTAACAATGTATCTCTAGATGATTTTTCTCACAGGTCAACAAATGCATCTCTATTATTCTTCAGCAATAACGAGGCAGTTCAAATAAACGATTTCCATCTCATTGCAAAGTCTGAAATAAAAGTGTTTACTTCTTACACCAAAGACACTCAATGTTTTAAACAAAATATGCTCAATGTAACTTAGCTTAGGGAGTGTGCATTACACACATGGATGTTCTACACAACAATCAAATCTTCACAATATTTCCAGTACCAAAAACACCAACTATGATGTCATTATGACCGGGCTATGCAGAACAACTGCTCCAGACTTCTGAACATGTGCTAAAGTTCATGTATTTGAAAATTAAAAAAAAAAAAATAGTAGAGATAATTACAAAACTAAGAAGAATCATTTGGTTCAGAATCTTTTGTTCTCTTGTATTCTTTCCAAAGAAATATAATTTTATTAAAATTAAAAAGTCAAATGTTTTCCAGAAACTGCAACTACTGCTGTGATGAATAAAACTGCAAACAAATATAAAAGGTATCACTCTAAAAACAATTACAATTAGAGACTGTCTCATTTTCTTTACTACTTTAACGCAGATATTCTTTCAGTACTGTCTCGAGAGCTACATCCTTTTGTCTTCAGTGTCACGTTTACAACAGTATTGTGATTATACCTTTCTGATATTGTAGAAGTCACGGTGGGGAACAGCCTTTTGTGATGCAAGTTCGCGCAATTCATTAAGGAGAACATGCAACTGGAACTTTGACGATAAGTAACTCAGTCGCCGATAGCAAAATGACTTCCTGCAAACAGAAAATTTAACAAGGGCTGTAAGTTCCATATCTGCATACACCTCTGAAATTGTGTTAGCAAATTTGATTTACTGATTTATCATAGCTAATACTCCAAATTCTCAGACTTATCTTTACACAGGGAGGATTTTTACTTTGTTGACCGGTTCCATGGCTCCACACTTCACGGCAACTGGGGCACCACTTGGTGCGAGGCGCATACAAATTTTGCTGATTAATCAGCATGCATGACAACCAATAAATTCAGAATAAAGTAGTTACAATTCACAGACCACTGGAGGTGTTGAAAATGCTGTCCCTCTACACTAGATATCTTTTGCAATTAATTGTTTTGTTAAAAACATAAGTACAACAATACTTCTTAAAGTTACAGCACACCAGACACCAACTTTCTTTGGATGCAGTGGGACTTTGTGGGTTAGATATGGATTCTGTGACCTCCAACAGTGATTATTTTGCATATTTATGTCTCCCTGCAAGTGAAACCATGCTTCATCAGAGAAGAATGTCATTTGCTGACTGATCTCACCTTTGATGACAGGCTGTAGAAACGAACTGCAAAAATGAACCCTGCTAGTTGGATTGTGTGGCTGCAAGGCGTGTGTGGACTCCTGTTGTTTTATGGGGTCCAAGCTTCAGCAATTGTGTTGCCATTCTTGCACTAGACTTTGACACTCCAGTTTTTTGAGCCAGATAATTCAGCGATTTTCCAGCTGTATGTATAAGTCTGGTCCTAAGTCATCTAAATTCTCGGTAAGCACTTGGTGTTTATGTTATTATTTCCTGTCTATTAAGTGTCCCGTTGTGCTAAGTTTCTTCACCTGAACTGTTTCTCTGCTTGGAACTCTTTCATCACAAAATTTATGTCAAAATTTTCTCTGACATTTTCTAGCAGATCCATATTGCACAAAGGTGTCTTACAGAAATACACATTGTTCTAGCCAGCACAATGACGTATCACACTGCTCACTAACCATCACTGAGAATAAATGGCTAATGGAGATGATCACTGTTGCCCATTGCTGACAAATCATAAACAACTCCCACACAAGAACCACACTGCTCTCCATGAAACATAATGCCATCAAGCAGTCCACAAGTTAATTATTTAACTTCATTCCAAACGTTATTGGCCATCAAGCATGTTAATTCATCAGCAAAATTCATATGCGCCCCACAGTTGGTGGTGCACTGGTGGCCGTGAAGTGCAAGAGCTGTGATCAGGTCAACAAAGTTAAAAAAAAAACTGTCTGTACAAGTGCACATTCAACTGATCTGCAAGTGTCCATTAGCTCCTCTCTATCCTTACACAAATAATAGATCTTTTCCATATGAAGAATCTTCACTGAATTCGCTACTTTGAGGTCATAATAAAATTTATTGGCCAGATGATATTTTAGTTGAGTGTAACTCTTAACATATATTTCACTAATATTACATTGTGCTCATGAAAACTTTACACTCTCTAAAGGCTGAATTAAGATAATCTTCAAAACTATGCTACAGAATATCAGCTCAAGTATGTTAAAAACGAAGGAATACAATATCACAGACACTGTATGATCTGAACCTTTGATGATGGCCAGAGATGATAAAATGTTCTCTGGCTATTAGGTATGTCAGTTGCTTAAAAATTACTGATGTTTCAAGAACCGTATCTGTCCCTGAAATGTCGGGTAATTTTTAACCAACTGACAAGGCTGATAACCCAAGATCTTCTCACAGATACTGACACTGTTCTGGAGCAGAGAAGTATGGTGTACTCACAGTGGACCATCAGCAATCATGGCACACAGTCTGTTCATGTCTGCCACAAATGTGTCAAGATTAGGATATGGAAAGTTGCATGGTTCCTCATTATCCAATGCTCTTTGGTCCTTGTACACATGGTATACACCATTCACTGGTCTCAACAGGTAGCCTTTGTCTGGTGTAAACTCACAATCCCAAGGATTCCCTTTACTGGCAGGTGCATGGACAGGGTGATCTGCAGACAAAGATACAAATAAAAGGTGACAGGGAAAATTCTACAAAGAGAATGTGGGAGGAGTGAGTGACATGCAATTTTATCAGAAGATTCACTTAACCATGTCTGTGCCAGCCTCCAAAGATCTACATTATATAAAAAATGGCAAGAAATTTCATTGAATCTGTAAATATTAAAAGAAAATATTCTCTGAAACTGCCATGTAATATTCAGGTATGAAATACTGAAATCTCTCAGCAAAGATTAGGAGCAGTTACATGTAGAATAAAAATGGTAGATATGGCAGGCAGAAAGGCCACAGCTCTGTCAACATCAGTCTGACCTATCTTGGAATGTTATGGTCATGGATCAATACGTAAGGGTTAAGGGGACAAGAAATATAAAGAGGCCAGAATGGTCAAGTTAAGCACTGGAGTTCAGTGTTTCAAATATTCATTTTTATAAGTTACTATTTATAAGAATTCAAAAATACAAAGAAAATAAAACAGCAACAAATTAACCAATAAGTATAAGAAATCACAAAAATTTAACTTCAAACTATGAATAAGAAACTTCCAACATCAGCAGTGTAGTAAAACCGACTTATCCAGCAAAACAGCCCATGCACTTGACTACTGACAGCAATACAGAACAGTATCTGAGCTTATGTAACCAACTGCCAACAATGAGTCATTATTATGGTGTTCAGCAATGTGTTCACAAATAAACAGTGAATATCATAAGGATATTTTGTTAACTTCTAACACAACACACACAAACAGTGAACCAATAGTTTGCATCAACTGGAACAACAGATCTGTGTTGTTTGTTACTTTAGAGTCATCACTTCACCAACATTTCTAAGCAGGGCTGGTGCAAGCCTAAATCCAAGCCCCAGGGAGTCCCCTCCCATCATTTAAAAAAAATGAACTTTCTCAAAACTCTGTCAGAATTAATGATACAAAATTTCCCAGTACTATGATGAATACTGTCATTAGTGTCATAATTCTTGAAAATCTGATGCATGATATGTTTAGGTTACAGTCAATTAATATCACAATATTAACAACAAATCAGCAGAAATTACTCTTATATGCATTCATCTGTGGCATAAATTGTAATGCACTCATTTCTATGGAAGGAGGATTGGAGATCCTTCCCATCAAGAACTGAAAGTGAAGATATGGTTCAGGTCCCATACCATAACATATTATAGAAGAACATTTTTTATTACACTCAAGTGATCCTAATGTGTTATGTTAGCAGGATTAATACTGTCATCTGCACTTTTATCAACTGAGAAATCCAAATCCTCTCTCCACGAATTAAACAGATTTTCCCTAAACCACTGCTTTCATCCATCCAACAGTCACCATTTTTCAGGCAACGCATCCACAACACAAGCACAAGCTGCCACAACTATAGCAAAGCTGAGAAATTCATTTACACTACATTAGCCTACCACCTGAAGTATAGCTAGGGGTTTACATGCACAAGTGATCAGCCACAAAAAGCTGTATCAGTAAAGATTACAATAGTGTGACAACTTCAGTAATGATCATTACTAGCAAGATTTGAGGTTTTTAAGGCAGTGACTATGAAGAATGCCATCTTCTGGGATGTGGCACAATGTAGATCTAGTGTAAACCGAAGTTTCAGAAGAATGTATTGCCTCAATCTTCAGGATAGAAAAAATAGCAAGCAAGGAACCAGCGTGAGCAGGTGGTTGCAGATGGAGGCAATACGAGTCCTCTGAAACGTCAGTTTACACTACATCTACATGGCACCACATCCCAGAAGACGGCATTCATCATTACTAGCATTTTACTGACCATCATGTTGCTTGCTTGTATAATTTTATAGCCTGTATTTTTCCAGCAATGTCTATGGAGATGATGACAAAAACTAAAATAATCATGATTTCTTATTCACATGGATGGACAAGATGGTGTGATGTTAAATTTGAGTTCACTTGTTCGGTACAAGGAAACTTTTTGTCTGTTTCTGGAGACAAAGTTTCATATGGTTGGAGAGGAAGGAGCCAGGTGAATTTGTGTTACACATTTGTTTTTTTATATAGAAATTTCTCAAATCTCACTATTTGGCTAATGACAGGTGGCATTAGCCAACATATGTATGTAGCTGCATTATCCTACTTCAGAGTTTTGATCTTACACTTATTCTAAACTGAGGAAAACCAGCAGAAACTCATCTTAAATAGAACGTAACAGTCAGTCTCATGATATTATAAATGCTACAGATAATAAATGATAAGCTGCATTTCCACTATTCTGAATATGACGACACACAATGGCAGAGTGACAAGGATCCAACTTCATGTGACAATAGAAACGGAAACAAATGAAACTTAAATCTTGAGACACACACTGGAATAAACAGCATTTTATATTATGAGACACACTTTGGATGAAACAATACTGAGAAGTGGAAGTAATGTACATAAACTGAGCATGATTTAAAAGAGTATACGAGAGGGTACCCAAAAGAAGCTGAACTTATTTTTTTTAAACTTATTTGTTCAAATTTTAAGCACAAACCTTCAATCCCCTTCAAAGTACTCTCCACTTACACTAATATACTTGTCTAGTCTTTTATTCCATTTTTCAAAACATTGTCTAAATTCATCTTTTGAGATGCTTGACAGCGCCTCCGTCGTTTTTTCCTTTCATGTCTCTTTTCATTCAAGGAAACAAAAAAAAAAGTCGCACGGGGCAAGGTCGGGTGAGTATGGAGGCTGAGGAACAGGGGTCATACCATTTTTGGTCAAGAATTGTCGTACAGACAGGGCTGTGTGAGCAGGGGCATTGTCATGATGGAAAAACAAGTCACCCGACTGCCACAAATCTGGCCGCTGAGCTCCAAGTCACTCCCGACAGCTCCACAATTTCTTCAATGGTCCATCGTCGATCTTCCTTGATGATTTCACGAATTTTTTCAACATTTTCATGTGTTTGGGCCGTGGAAGGACGACCAGAACGAGGTTTGTCATCAATTGACATTTCACCATTTTTGAAACGGGAAAACCACTCAAACACTTGAGTTTTCCCCATAGCATCGTCCTTGTACGCCGTTTTTAACATTTCAAGAGTTTCTGTTCCACTTTTCCCGAGCAAAAAGCAGAATTTCACCGCCGCACGCTGTTCACGAAAATCAGCCATTGCAAAAACGACGATCACACAAAACAGTTGTCACCATAAACTCTGCCGAAACTAGTCCTTACCTTCTGAAGCAACGGTAGTCAGCTTATCGACTCAGGAATGTTAGCTCTATGCGCTCATAGCGGCAAAACGCGGTATTACAAAAGCTCTGCCCACAAAAAAATTAGTTCAGTTTCTTTTGGATACCCCATCGTTATTTTAACTTATGATGGCCTTTAACAAAGAAGGCTATAAATATGTTCAATAATTCACAGTTATAGGGTACTGAATGAAAAATCACAAACAAAATCCCCAAGACTCTAGATTTCAGGAACCAGATTGATATGATACTATCCAAAATTGAACTTTTATTTATTCCCCTGTCCACTGATTTTGCCTTAACTAAACAAGCTGCCCTGGAAATCTGGTAATCTATCTCAGATGTGGGTATGCAGTGTAGACACACATGAGCCATGCATCTGTGGTATTACCCATCAGTGGAGTCTCTCCTGTCAGCACAACCACAACAAGCTTATTTGTCTGTATGATGTAGAACTAGATAGCCACACCAAATAACTGTCCAATGAATTGCATAACAGCATTAAAAGAATTACCTAAATATTTTTCAATAATGCAAGTTCTTATGACAACCTAACTCAGTCAAGAATGAGCAGTAGTTTAACAAAGGTTTCTGTCACCAGGTAGTGTACACTCCAGTTTCAAAATATACAAGATCACAGGTAGAACAAACCAACAAGATCACCTGCAATAAGTACACCAACCCCATGTCATTTTTAATAAAACATATGTGGCCTCCAAATAGATAAAACAATAACAGTTAGACATAAAGTAAAGTTGCCTCAGTGCTGAAGCATGACTCTATTAAAGCAGAAGGAGGGAAGAGAAACTCTTAAGAATTCTTTATAACAGCCCTAGACTAATGTTAATTGGCCATCTTCACATTCCAGATACTCCATTCCCTGCAAAAAGACCCCAAAACCAAGTTTATGAGGAATACTAATGATCACCAGGGATCAAATCTCTGTCACTTTACTGACAGCAATAATTCTGTGCAAGAGGAGAATAACATAGAAATTGTTTTAGCTTCCCATAAGAATATCATGGAGCTGTTTAGCATATCCTTAAAACTAGGATGAGGCTAGTAATGAAGACCAGTTTTCTCATTAAAATAACATAAGGCTGGTAAATGGTACCTATACACACATGGAATTGATTCAGCCCAGTTTCACCATAAGAATTAATCAGGGTTAATGCTAATACAAGAATATTATCAATCCATATTTTCCTTATGGTACTTGATACCAAATACATATACACAAACACACTCATATTATATACATTAGTGGTTTAGTCAATAGTCATTGCAAAATATAACATCAGGGCTGTGCAAAGTCAGGTTAGTGAGCTCGTACACAACCTACAGTTCAAAACAAATACTAATTTAACCCAGTGTCTGCATGAATATATGGTTTGAAAATGATCACAATTCTGCTTTCCACCTGCTATGATGCTGGTATTTTACTCGTCTTATTCTACCCTGAAGATAGAGGCGATATGTTCCTCTGAAACGTCAGTTGACTTTCAATGGGCTACATGGCGTTATGCAAGAAGATAGTAACTCTTCATAATCACCACTGTGAGAAATTCAAATCCTACATATATAAAAAATAGTTTTACTTGGATCGAAAATTCTGATTAAAACTGATGAGGGGAAACCTTAAATTGAAGAACATTGAAAGAGCGTACTACTTTATATTGTTCATTAGGAATCCACACTAACTTGGACTAAGAATATTAAATATTTCAACTTCTTCCAACAACCACCAGAATTTAAAAATTTCATAGTGAGGTGCTAGAATTAGGTTGTTGTTGTTGTTGTTGTTGTTGTTGTTGTTGTTGTTACAAGGCATAATGTAATGTAGCATGAAAAGCCGTTGTTATGTAACGACCGCGAGATGGGCAGATATACCAGGGCCGTTTCTGGGCAACGGCTCGGTAAACACATTCCCACAGCAATGAATCAACGTGCAACAATAGAGGTACTGTTGGGAACACAGTTCCCACCAAGGAGTTACATGGAAGACAACTGGGGTGACTGAGTCAGTTCAGTACGGGAAGTCTGTGAAGAGACGACTTGAGTGCGTGAAGCTGAAGAATCTCCACTGTTAAAATCAGTTACCAGGAAAAGTCTAGTGACAACACAGCAGGCTGGAGAACACTTACATGGAGCTATTTGTAAAGCGTGGAAATCAGAATTGTGCTCTACTTATTTGTAGTTGCCACCTGTAAGTGGTCAATAAATCAAGTCACCAATCCAGACCCTGTCTATAGCCACTCAAAATCGTGACAATAAGAAGATATTACTGAACAACAAGGAAGTTGCTACTCCTGCAAATACAGAATGGTTCACTGATTTCAGTATGTGCTTTACAAGCAAGCCGTTTTACTTCTATAAGCACAGCATTTTCATAATCAAATAAATTTTGACAAAAGTCAAAGTCAGAGAGAAAAGCTTCATGTTTCATTTTCCTGAATGTCCTGAAGATAAAGGAAGAGTACTCTTTAAATAACGAATTTAAGAGAAACAGACTACATAGTAATTATTTAAATGCAACAATTAACAGGCAATTCTAATCAGTGGTACCATCTTCACTCCAGAGTTTACACAGCCCTGGTTTACATACACTTATTCTCCTATGAAATATTTGAATGTAACTTGCTTATTTCTGTTCAGTGGGCAGTTATTTACACACACACCTTATCTGTGCTAGACCAGTGAGTACACTAGCACTACACCAATGTGCTTCCAACTACAGGCTGTTGGTTAAATATAGTGCACACATGTGCTGCAACAATGTGCACTGAACTGCATCTAGTTTGACCCTCATGATAATTCACACATTTTCACAATTTGGAAACAAGAGGTTTTCAATACATAATATTCCAAGGCATCTGTTCACTGATATCTTATATTAGTTTTATTTACATGAATCTTAAAATATTACATACATATGTCCTACATTCAAAGAACAAATTAATAAATAAAATACCAATTTCATATTGTAGTCTTCCAGGGTATGACATCATACATTTTTGAATCTGAGTAGTAACATATCACAAAAATGTTATGCCTCCATCTTTAAGGTACATTCAACCAATAACATGTGAAGCTGCACTGAAGACTGTAATGTGTGTCTGTGTGTGTGTGTGTTTGTATCGCAAGTAAACACATATGTTCCTATTGTGCGAGTATAAAAGTAGGCATGTGTGGTCAACCATAACATACTGAGAAGCACACCAAACTTGATGATCATTACAGAGATCTTCTTGTGTCTCCTTAGTTTCAGTGAATCTTCTGAAACCTTCCCTGGACAAGGGACGCTGTCTCACTGCTGAGAGCTTTTATACATCCTCACATTTATAAGATATCCTGCCTTCCCATACTACAGATATATATGGCACAGTCAAGATGACCAGGAAAGATATGCCTTCAGTTATAAAGAATGGAAGTGAAAAAGGGAGAAGTAGCAGGATTCTAAAGGGGGATGATAATGGCCTTGTGCTGGAAATACAAGGATGATGATGTACTATTGAACACAGTACACAATTAAGAAATGGAGGATGTAAAAGATGACCCAAAGAAGGAAAAATATCAAGTAGTTACTGAAGAAAAAGACATAAAGGGAGGAGTAGATCTTGTTGATTAGCACATATCAATTTACCCTCTATCTGGAAAACTGGGAAATAACTAACACAAGAATATATTTTTTCACATCTTGGAACTAGCTCTCTGGAACTCCTATATACTATACTGCAAAACAGGGGTAAGGAGTCTTGTGTAACAGGAAAACACTTTCCTGAATAAGCAGCCCCAACCGTGGAGAAGTCAAACCCAACAAGGCAATGTGCAATGCGCAGTTGCGTGCGAGATGCAAGGGATAAGCGAATCTGCAGAAATATTTGGTTCTATATCCCTGGACTGTGAGTGCCGCTCTGTGTCAACTCCACACTTCTGTGCATACTACACCTAGAGCAGAACTGCCTTCGTGAAATGCCCCACAATGAAATTGTAAATATTATCCAATTTATTGAATATAAACATTACTTCACATTTATTATTGAAGTCAGAATATTAAATGGATTACAAAGCTGAAATTTTGTGGTTGAAAGTTGGCCAAGCTGGCCTACAAACATTTTATTTTGCCTACAATTAAAATTTGGAATGCTGCGACTATTGTAGAACTGCATTTTATATTATAATGAGATTCCAGGCTTGGATGTTTGTGTGAAAAGATAAAAACAAGATCTCTTGGGATAAGAAATAATTATATGCATATTGTACAGCATAATTAAATATTTTACACAAAAATATGTATCAATCACTTCCTTGACTATTTTTCACAAGGAATGTGAAAGAAACTTATTTTTCAGGGGGTGGGGGACAATTATTTGTAAAGAAACATCTGCCAGAGAAGCAACAGACCCACACTAATTAATAAGTCAAATTATAGTTTTGTATGTATTAATCTTTATGATTTTAGATACCAATAGGAATAAAGGATTCTAAACTGAACGGTAGTAAGCATGCCCCAACTTCAAACTGCCCTTAGTTCCATGTTGAATGTTATTTTGATTTGTTCCTCTTGTTCCCAAATATATCAACTCCATCACACACTTTAAGGATTTATTGGCTGTCTTCTTATTGTTATTTTGTCCTGCATCCTGGTGATACTTACTCGATTGTTCATTTGTAGGTTTAGTTTATATGTGAACTGAGAAAATAATTTAAGTGAGCAGGAATCCAAATTTTCTCCAAAAAAAACCACCTTTTATATGTTGAATACATATACATAGTAAAGCAGGAGAAATATGAACCATTTCAACACCTTAGCACATTCATCACAATGGAATTAGAGAAGTTTCACTACAATGCTAATGGCGTAACAGTAATGAGAGATTACGGAGTGTCAGTGCACCTCACCACAAGCCAGTGCTGGTCTATGGTTACCTTTCTTGAGATTTTCGTTGACTGGACTCAGGATGCGGTCCAACTCTGCGTTGCTGAATGAACAGCTCACACTATACATTTCTTCATATAGTTTTTTCTTGTCCTCTGATTTCTTCAACTTTGCATCTTCATGCTTGCTGTCAACTACATCAATCAGGAGGCAGCACACATCAGTAAACGAGTTACAGCCTACCATTCACCTCATTATTAAGATAGGACAAGACAGGAGAAAGAGCATGTCACAATGTAGACTCAGAGAAGCACAAAGAATTTCCATTCACACAGCGAATATCATGACACAGGAGTCAAAAGAGAAATAAGGGTATGACAGCAACTCTGATGTCCCTTCAAATTTTACTTCTTATGTGTTTATAAGAAGTGCTCACTCCCATTTTCTCTTATCTCAATGAGGTTTATCCTTCAAGGAAGAAGTCTGGCTAAAGTTCTGAAGCTCCTCAATATTCAACAGTTTTCTCAGATTTCAGAGGCGCTCACTGTTATTTTGTGTTAGCTTATTCTTGAAGAAAACATCCTGGATAAAGATCTGAAGTCCTTAATTTTAAACATTTTGTTTCCTCACAAACAAACCAACTACATGATGTTAGTTGGCAAGTGAACTATACTGACCGAGCGACCGCCACTTGTCGGCGAAGTTCAATGCCAACTTTTGCAGATAGAAGGTGTCACGTGGTCAGCGCAATGAATCCCTCACAGCCGTTAATTTCGGTTTTCTAGATCGGAGCCGCTATTTCCTTGAAATAACTCCTCAATTATCATCACAAGGCTGAGTGGACACCGTTCCAGACCCACTACCTCTCAGAAAAAATCTGGTAGCGCCAGGAATCGAACCTGGACCTCTGAATATGTAGTCAAGAACACTGACCACTAGACTAACTTTCCTTCAGCTATAAAGCCTCTATTAAAATCAACTTTCTGTAAGGTAAATATTTAGTAAAATATAATTGAAAATGCAGCTTATTTCTCCAACAGCTGGCAAGGCCCTGTAATTGGCACACTGAAATGACTCATCTCCTTTAATATCCAAGTGGGTCAAAGTCCTCCCTCAAACCACATCCTTTCTCTCTCTCTCTCTCTCTCTCTGAGTCTGCATGGATGCGCAAATGCACACACACATGCACGCACACACATATTCACACACACCCCTCAATAGAGGATTCACAAACTGATACAAGCTTGGAAATGGCCACTTCCAGTAGGTTGTAAGCAGCACACCTCTCACTATTGATTTTGATTGGGTGCACACTCCCTTCCTTACAGCAACTCCTTCTATGAGGCTAGTAACTGATCATGTGGCAACGAATCGACTAATTAACTAAGTGAGAAACTGACTGGGCGACTGCCTAAATAATGTTATCGAAAGGGGTTTTCAATAAGCAGTACATGTACACATAAACATAATTTTCCTGTCAAAAAAACAAAGGTTTAGCATTATCATCACAAAGGCATGCTACTGGAGACTACCCTGAATCGGGCCAGTTTATTAAAAATCCTTATATTTTATTTTGCTAAGATTCATATTTAATCATCTTTCCATCTAAGCAAATGTTTCTCAAGTAGTCTCATATCAAGAGAATATATAACAATAATTTGCAAACAATTTTTTATGTCACACACAGCTAATTTTTGTTGATTTAATGTTCCAACCTATAACAAATTATGCACTTTCTTATTATGTAATATTCTCTGTTTCCCTTTAATTTAACTCTCACAAAGGCCAAGTCTTCTCCAAGCCTCTGCTTCTCAAAATTCCTCAACCTCTGTTCTTTCCCAGAAGTGAAACATCAGGTTTCATTTAGTCTCGAGGATTGAAGATGAAGGGGGAAGTGGAGGTGTAGTGCCACCTACTCCTAACTGGATACCATGGGACAGGAAGTTTAGTGGATCCTGGAGCTGGTCTGAACATGTCATCAAAAGGAAACGTTTCTTCCCCTGCCGCCATGAACTTACGGGGCACACGGTAGCATAGTTGGTTGAGGCACTATGCTACTAGCTGGAAGGTCACAGGATCCAATCCCAATGAGGTGGAATTTTTCAGTTTACCTAATCCTTCCAGCAGCATTATGGCCCTGGGGTCGACTCAGTCGCTAACAGAAATGAGTACCAGGAATAATCCTGGTGGTGAAGGGCGGCCTGCATGCAAGTCTGACAAACTCACCGCCATCTTTGGGCCGACTGTCTAGAAAATGTGGGAGCCTCAACATCTCACAACCCTATGGGACTCCACGGCCTGTTACAGGGCTACTTTTACTTTATTTACTTTTACTTGTCATTAACTGTCTCTCATCGTCCACCCAGTCTACTTGCTAACTGCTTACAAACAGAGCTATCCTTACTTCTTCTACATCTCACAAAACCATTTTAGTTCCTTCAACACTGTTTCAGAAAGCAGATGAGCTTATTCTGTTTTTAATGTCATCATGACTGTAATTCTTATTTGTGAACTGTGAGAAGAGCACTCCATTAATGAATCTTCCTCAGCAAAAGTTACAATTGATTAGCCATGAAACTGATGTTCAAGTCCTGTAAACTATGACCTCCCCTTCCACTGGCCCTTTATTCCAAGTCCAGTCCCCCCCAAACTGAAGACATTGGCTGCATGGTGGCTGATTGGATTCATCACACACCTCAGAGGTGGCTACAAATGAACACAGAGCTCTAACAGAATTCTGATTGGCAAGAGGAAATCTCAGTACTTGGAGAAAAACTTGCCATGTGGAATAACAGGCACTTGAATCCAGGCCTTCACAGTGAGGAGAAAGTGTCTTAATCATCTGGGCTACAGCACGGCTCAGTATCTCCAATAGCTGAGGCTGCTGTCTATTACATCAACTGCCAAACTCAGGTGGTTGTTAAGAGGGGTTGGAATACTTTCTTACCCCAGAAACACACATACTCTCCAATGGTTAGATCAAGTCACAGGTTGTAAGATTCGAGGTTTTCACGGTGGTGACTATGCAGAAAGCCGTCTTCTGGGATGTGGCGCCTTGTAGAAATTGTGTTAACTGACGTTTCGGAGGAACGTATCACCTCCATCTTCAGGGTAGAAGACAAGAGGAAATCCACGAGCAAACCAGCAGAGCAGGTACAACAGTCTGTTTTTAAATTTAAACTATAAACAAATACTACTACTACTACTACTACTACTAC